GTTACTCGCTTCATTACGATTTTTATTGCGCAAAGTGAATATCTAGAGTTGATTTAGAACTGCATCGCCCCAAGCGTCCCAGAGTCTTCTTCTTCTTCTACATCTTTCATCTTCAAGACACTTTGTGATGTAAAGTGGGCGAGGCTGCTGCCACTAAGTGCTGCCCACCTGCCTGTTGCCCCCCGTTGTTGTTGTTGTTGTTGCTGTTTTTGTTGACCCCCCCAACCCCCTAGCTTTTACCCATAAATCAAATGGCGCGTGGTCGCTTCAAACTCGTTCAGTGCTGCCTCTCCATGACGCTTGCGTCCGAGCGCCCCTCATTAGCGCACAGTTTCCACTCGAATGCCATTGAATGTTCTGTGACGTATCGCGCAAAATCAACGACGAGACGACGCCAACGATGACGATGACGACGACGACGACAACGACAATGATGATGATGTTATGATGATGATGATGATGACGTTAGCCAGGAAACTGCAATCGCCTAACGATTTTGGCGCTACGTTGCGTACTTCTTTTTATTTCGCTTTTAATTGTCGACGCTTCTCGTTTTCCTGTCATCAAATTCATTGCAATTTTCACAACGCTCGAACAGAGCGACCGCTCTCGTTTGTACACTACAAAAAATACCCAATTGTGTCGCTCGCTTTTTGTTGGTAGTTCAGTGCTGTGACCCTCTTCTGAAAGCGGATTCAGGATTAGGCACTTTGAGTGCAAATTTTTTGCCCTGGAGCTAGGCTTTCATTGCAGCAGCTTCTACATTTTGTGGAATGCAGGAATTCGAGCAACGCGTTAGTATTTTTATGGTTCCTTTATTTATGGTTCCTTTATAATTTTCATTTACAATTCCTTTTAACCGACTTCAAAAAAGGAGAAGGTTCTCAATTCGACTGTATTTTTTTAAATTTACCTAAGAACTTGTAATTGGTTGAACTGATTTTAATGATTCTGTGTTTTTTTTTAAAGCTGGTAATTCCCATTTTAAATTAGTAAAGTTGTGACAATGGCTTTCATGAGAAAACTACCTCATTTAGTCCAAATAGCTGAAAATTCTATTCTTGGATATGATGCGATTACTTCAGAATGTTACTAATTATCGCGCATGTTCTGTAAACATAAGGTAATGGTTCTATCTACAGCCCGCACCCATCCATAATCATCTACATAACACATTGGGGAACTCCAATGCATTTTTCCATCAATTCTCATTTTTGAACTCACAATATTCTAACCAGTCGAAACATTGTGAAATAATTGGCATCGTTTATGATTCTGATTACCTTTTCATTCTCGGAATCTTACCATAACTATGTATTAGCTGACAAAACATGCTTGATCATTTTTTTTAGTGTCATCGGTCAGAGAATTTTTTGCTTTTATTGTGTGTGGTGAATCTTTAGGTTTTTTATTTAAATTTTAATTACCAGTGAAGGGGTTTCAATGCAACTTTTGTGCATATTTAGTTTTGCATTTGGAATATTAAGCATTTATGTGCTTGAGAAGTTGAATGCAAACGAATTGTCGATTAGGCCTTAGATTGAGCTATAATTGGTTACATGTCGGAGGACTTCTTTATGTGCTAATAATTGCACAATTTATGACTAACTCAAATGTACTTTGGATGGGGCTTCAAGCCCGGCCAGCAAATTGCTTCTTCGCTTTTAAATCGCTTCGGGCTGCACGCAACTGCTACGCTCAATCAAGCCATTCAATCATATACCCACAATCTGTTGCCGAATTTCGTGTAATTTCCATGGGCATCTCAAACTAATGGAACTTGCATTTGAGGTATGTCAGGCATTTGGAAATTACGCCGAAAACACAACCACAGTCAGATGCAATACCATGGGCTTTAAATGAGACTGGGAAGCCGTTGACTGCGTAGTAGAATTCACATGTAACTGAATAGTGGAGTGAATCCTCTATATTATATTATTTTTCTGTAATTTAATCCGACACTAGTATTTATATTAAACATCATTATTATCAAATTGGATTTATTGGACATTACGTAGATCGATATCAATATTGAGCATAGTTGTCAAAAATCTATAAATAGATAGCTGAAAAGAAAGGCGCAATTAACTATGATCAAGATATCGAAAACTTAAGTGAAAACAAAAGGAAATATTTTACAACAAACATTTTGCATACAAATGTATGTAATTTTCCATGTATACTTTATTTTTGGTTCAGTTTGTTATTCCTTTTAATTGTTTAATAGTTTTGTTATGGCCAATATTGCATGCCGATTCTCTGCTTTAAATTAAACAAAAATAAATAACAAATTTGTACAAAAAATAAAATAAATATATATATAAATTTTAAAAATTTTACAAGTACAAAAAAGAAATAGATAAAAAATAAAAAATTTGAACAATTAATGTCTAAGAAGATTTGTATTAAATGAATATAAATTGTTTATGATCATAGTTTAAGAGTTACAGATCTTTCTAAATAGAGAAGACAGACAATATATAATAGTTTTCTTCATTTCAATTAAAAGGCGAGCACTTATATCAATTTCATCGCTCATGCGATTTGTTTATTCGTATGTTGCAATACATCAGTATCTGTCCACTGTGCCACACAATTTGTCTAGCCACACAGCCTGGCCCCAAAATGCTTGTCCCAAGTGAAAACCGCAGTCGAACACGCGCCAAATCGAACGCAATTCCGATTCTGCAATCCCAATTTACCCGCCAATTCAGTGCAGGACATTCGACGGAGTTGCACCTACAAATGAACATGTGCAACAATTCTGGCACAGAGCGCCCAATGCCACTGCCCCATGCTCCCATTTACTGTGTCCGGCAATTTACCACAAATTTGTAAATATTTAATGTACATTAATTAAATGCAAATGCGCATGGGTGAGCAGACTCTGGACCGTTGGTCTGGGTGCTGCCCATTTGGCTAGTTTCATTTGCCACATTTTATGTTTTTTTCCTGCCTGCCTGCCTGCCTGCCAACGTGTTATCCTTAAATATATTAAAAAACATACTTACGAGTAAATGTATAAACATGTGTGTGTGTATGGTACTATACATATGTATGTATGTGCGTTTGTACTTTTTTGCAGCTGCTCTCCTTTTCTTTTCAAACAATTTCATTTAATTTTACTGCCAGGCGCAGAGACAGCAAAAATGTACACTTACATAAATACATATATGCATACATATATACATATATGTATATACATATGTAGTATGTATAGTATGTAGGAGAAGAAAAAAGTAAAAATGTTTGAATTCGCTTTTTTCAATTCTGCATAAAGCAACAGTCGACGCCTCTAGCCGCCTCCAACCATGTATTGGCAGCTGTAGCCTTTGGCTTGGCGCTGTCCTTGCCCGTCATAACGCGTGTGTGTGTGTGCGTGTGTGTGAGTGGCAGGTGGGTGGGTGGTTCTGCTTCCGTTCCCCTGCTCTTTATTTTGTTCAATGTGCGTAAAATTTTTGCCAGCATTGAATTTTTCCTTTTTATTTGGACTACTGTCTCTCTTATGGTAATTTTTTGTATATATATTTTTTTCATGCATATGATTGGTTTTTTTGTAGTGTTCATTTAGGCTTACGCAACATAAGTATGTCTTGAATTTGAAAATATTCAAACTACGCTTGACTGCGCTTTTCATAGCCGGTCGGTCGGTCGGTCGGTCGTTTTTTCTCATCCTTCGCGCTTTTGTTGTTCAAATTAGAGATACGCGCGAGCTTTACCTTTGAAAACCGATTCAGTTCAAGTCTTATTGTAATTGGTGGCCCCTACTTACTGTCCACTCCGCTCTAACAACTGATAAGAGAATAATCAGTAACCTAGTCTTATTTTTAGACTTTCAAGCTTCCAACTTGCTGCTTGTTCGTGCCTTTTCGAATTTTTTTTTTTTTTTTGGCCTCTTGGGCATCGTTTGGCACTTTTTGCATCTTTCTGGCTCACAGAAACCGCGCGCCCTTTCCTTCTAAAAAAAAGTTGGTTTCAGGCCTAAGCCAAGCCTCGCTTTCGCTTGCCAACTAGTCGGTTGTCCAATTCTTTTTATGGCTTACTTTTTCCATATTGTTGTTGCTATTTTTGTTGCTGTGCCAGGCGCTCGCTACGACCTTTATCTGGCAAACGCAAGTGTTATTGTGCTTGTTATTATTGCCGCCGCTGTTGTTGTCAGCTGTCTTTTTGTGGCTGTAATTTGTTTTTGGCATCCGCATTACCAAATGCGTGGGTGTAGACCACATTTTGTGCCCACTTTTGCTTTCAGCCGCTGCTGCTCGAATTGTCGTCGACACGCGTGCACAGGCACTTGAGATTTTCCATTTGTTCCAAACAGTGTGGGACAGAAAGGGAGGGAAACACACAAAGCACTTGTTATTATTGCTATACCTTCTTCAATTGTTCTGTAGAATCTAACAAGAGAGAACGCTACAGTCGAGCAAGCCCGACAGTGTAATACCCTGTACCCAGGTAAACTTCCGTCACTGAGTTATATGCGCCCATAGCAGCAGTAAAAAGAGGAAGAAGAAGAGCGAACTTGTTGCTGCAGTTTGGGGAGGTTGTACTGGCGAGAATTTGTTTGGCTAATAACTTTTCTTAGAATTGACCGAATTGAATAAAATTTTGAACAACAGTAGACAATTATATATAAATTATGTGTGCAAAGTTTGGTTTAGGTAGCATTTGAAATGTAGACGCTATTGACGAAATTCTGTAGCGGGGGGAGGGGGGGAAAATCCAAAAAAATAAAATAAACTCGTCCTTACTCGGACTTAGGAGAATCTGGATGCCAACTTTGGTTATTCTAGCTTTTATAGTTTCTGAGATCCTCGCGTTCATCCAGACGGACGGACAGACGGACGGACATGTCTAGATCGATTTCTCTCGTCATGCTGATCAAGAATATATATACTTTATGGGGTCGGAGATGCTTCCTTCTGTATGTTACATACTTTGCACTAACCTAATATACCCTTTTTACCCTACGGGTACAGGGTATAAAAATAGACAGTTTCTTGTATTTTGCCTGATGATATACATATATTATTGTGGTATCTATTACACTTTCACTTTAGCCAATCTTAAAACTCAAGAATAACTTCGGGTTCATATTCAGCGATGTACCCAGACGTCCTGCCAGTTCAATCGGCAGATAAACCAATAACTTCAGTATGAAAAGAATAGATATTTTCATTACAATTTAATTTATCCGATGAAATATAGGAATTGTGCTGCCATTATCCTCTGCAATGAAAGAGAAAAGTTATTATTTTCAACTTAAATCTGGTAGTAATTAGCACATTTTCCTTACAATGTGATTTTCCGTTAAAATTTTTGAAATGGATATCGTCGTGCTGGAGAGGAGAACTAAATTGTTATGTACACCAGTTCTCTGTAAAAATCAAAAATTAAAATAATTATATGTTATAAGTATATATACATATATAAATAAAAATGCGTATATGCAAATATTGTATCGGTATCGTTAAATTGTAAAAGAAAAATGTCGTAAAATTCCAAAAACCCTCATAAAAATCGTTCCTTTAATGATCGTATGTAGTCTTATGAATCACTGATTGATTAACGAAGAGCGACCGAACCTTATTTTGTAACATATTGTCTTTTTAAGGTATTTTCTCGGTAGTCGATATCGAAACATTCAAATATCGAACATACCAAAAAGTTGCTTCTGTTATGAATAGTCTTGTAGCTGTTACTTTAAGAAAGTAAAAGTAGAGTTAAAAATATTCTCGATAGTGTTGCAGCTTAAAAACTCCATAATCTTGTAGATAAATAACTTCCGAAATAAACCAAAAATTTAAAAAATATGCACTCGATTTACTTACCAATATTTCTTTGGAGTTGGCTTGATCGTTACACTCTTCTTACTCGTTCCTGTCTTACTCGTGCCTATAGACTCACAGCTAGAGAATGATATCACGCTCTCAGATTCCGAGACGTCGTCGTCGTCGTCCTTTTTGAAATCAACGACTTCAGCTATATCTTCTGCGTGGGTAACACTGTAATAGTGTTCGTTGCATTGCAGGACCAGACCCAGTTCCATTATCGCGACCAGAACCTTATCTAGTTCCTTGTTGACTGCAGCAAGAGTCGCTGCATCTGGCTTTGCTCCGGTAAATAATAACGAAAGTCGGCTGAATGGGACCGGCTCGCAAACTTCCCGAAGATATTCTAAAATTTTTGACGCGCACACCGTTTTTGACATCTTACTATAATTTTTTGTTGTAATTATTCGAAAAACTAAATGTAAATACACGACTAAACAACTCGAAGTAATGTTCTGGAATAAATAAATCTAACTGCACGTATGTCCAAGTGTAAATGAAATATATTTCAAAGCCAGCTAGACTTGAAGAAACTAAACCAAAATTATTTTAAAAAGGTAGCAGCCTTAAAGTAAATAAAATAACAGATAAGGCATTAAGCTTAACCTAATAAGATAAAGTTATTTATGGAGATAAAAGTGTAGTTCATATAGATGTGATGCTTTAAGAAATTTTACAAATATTTCAATGTAGTCTTTAAGAGAAGTGGATGGATGGAGAGCTGGGAAAAGTTGTTTCCAATGACTGTTGAGGTAAATACAAGTATTGGAGCCAACATTATTCCAAATTTTATAGCTGTGATTAAGCTGTCTAAGTGTTACTGTTTCTGGAAGATTGGTGATATTTGTTTATTTTATGTGTATGCCAACAAGAAATATGAAAATAATTTATAAATTTATTTTAAAATCTAATCACATAACAATAATATCTAATAAAGCAATGAAGGCACTACTATACGTTGGTGCTTGCATTTTCTGATTAAAAGTTTCCGAATATTTGCATTTAATATTAATTGATATCTGCGTCTTAACTAGGCTTATAGAATGTTTGTTTCTATACAGCAATATCGCTTTTAAGTAAAATTACTTTGTCATATCCTTGCAAGAATTAAGCAAGTTAACTGAATAATTGATTTTCAACTTTATTTTTCTGACAACTTTTGCCAAAAAAAAAAAAAAAAACAAAACGAGTAGAAATATTGCATAATGCCTAAGTGCTGGACGTAAAGCAGATAAAGTTTGAAATTTGTGTCTCTTCCTTTAATTTGCTATCTTTTGACAATTAGCATTTTTAATTAGTTAACATTAAGTTGGCGACCAACCGAGCAACGCAAATTGCAGATTGTTGTCAAAATTAGCGTCAATTTTTGCCAATTTTTTTCCCCTGCTTCTTTTATGTGCCGAAGTTGAGATTTTTCAGCTGCACGCCCCCGCCCTTCATCATTATTATTATTATTATTTTGTTGAACTGCTTATTGTTGTTGTTCTTGGTAGTAAGAGATAACGAAAATTACTCTACCGCAGCAAAAGTTGAAAAAAAAAAAATCATTTTTGTTTTTGCTGTCCAAGTTTATGGGAAGAATGAAATGCAGAATCATTTTATCCGATGATTGTAGACCCTTTTTTTTATAGTAGTGGGCGGTAGCTTACAAAATCTAAAGGACGTGATCTATCCTTAGAATCGGACTATATTAAGAAGTTAGTTTTGAAAGAAGTCAATTATAACAGCCTAACTAAGACAGGATCAGTTTCCGTATGAAAATTGTTAACGCCATTAGTTATACTATGTCAGACATTTGATATTTTATTCTTTTCTATATTAATTTTACTGTAATTATTACACTTCTTGGGGAAAGCTTCAGAATTCCGCCCTCAAAAAAGCTTTGGTTGTCATCCAGAAAATTGTATAATATTAAAAAGTTAAAGTTTTAAAAGTTTGTAATCTGGCATTGTACTGGTAAACAATAAATCAGTTTATTTTTGGCATTTCTGGCCGCATCTTGACAATCGCTAGTTTCAGTGATGATTCGGTCTATATTTGAAGATGCTAACCTTTTAAAGAGTATTCCATTGTGCTTATGTAATTATTTAGTATTTTTTTCGCCATTAGCTTGGACATTTATTTTCGTTTGTTGCTAACTTTTGACAGTCTTCTGCTGCTCTGTTTTTTTTTCTTTCGCAGCTCCGTTGCCAGAGAATCATTTATTCTTTGCAACTTTTTAAGATGATTTCTGTATAGCGCGTTTTTATGTTATGTTGGCGGCTTTTTATACTACTTGCGCGTAAACTGTGAGCTGCTTTCCTAAAAAATATTATTTTTTGATAGTGCTTGTAGTATTTATTTTTGCCAGAAATTTTGCTCTGCGGCGCTAATTGACAGTCCCATAAGAGCGCGCTCGATTAATTTGCGGCAATTGGCGCTCGTGTGTTTGTGTTGGCTGGTGAGCGGTGGCGTATACTTGATAATTGTTGACACCTTGAGCGGCGGCATGTTGGGGCAATTAAATTGAAATTGAACCATGAAATGTTTACAAATTGCTTAGCCAATTGGCTAATGGCAGCCAAACAATTTTCAATTGCCAAACCAGCAGCATCATCATCATCATCATCATCATCATGAACGTCGTTGCTCGTATGGCGTGCCTTTTCGCTCGATTACATAAGGCAGGTTATTAATGGTTTGTCCAGGAAGTGCCTAAGTGTTCTGTTCTAGCTCTTGACTCTCTCTCTCTTTCTCCCTTGATAATATGTCATGACGTTTCGACTTTGTGTGACATGTGCCCTGCCGCTAGACAAATGTTGTTGCTCTTCCCTCTTGCCTCTCCTCACAGCTCCTCCGCCTCTGCTGCGTGTGTGTTCATATGCGTCATGGTCAGGTATATGTTTGTTTGTTTGTTTGTCTGCGCACTCGTCTGCAAAGGCGACAAATGTTGTGACGCCGCCACCTTCTGACAGTGCCAATTGGCACACATAAATTGTTGCCTTGCTGTCAAGTTGTTGCCACAAACAAGTTTTCACAGTATGTGTGTGTGTGTGTGTGTGTTGGGGCGGCGCTACAATTTGTTAATGATTTTTACTATTTTTGTTGTTGTTTTTTTGCAATGTGTACGCCAGACGCCGTCCGTGCTCGACAGTTTTAAAGGTTCCGATTTTTCGTACCCTTCTCAGAGTGTGGCAAGGTTGATGAACTGTGGCAGCTAGCACAACACATATATATATATCAGTAGACTGCGGAAGTTGCTGTCAAGCACAATAGAAGCCCACACACACATGCATCCTAATTGAGTGCAGAGCCTGCCAAACTTTTTGCCACACATTGTCGCATGGCTCAATGCGATTGCAGGTTACTTTAAAAGTCATAATTTAAGCAAGTTTATGTGCATTTAACACACATTCACAGCCACTAAAGACTCACTGGCTTACTGCTGGTGGCGCAGCAGCAGTAACCACCGAGCAGTAGAAGCGTCGCGACGTCTAAATCCACAACAATTGTGGCGTAAAAGCGTGAAATAACGCACAAAGCTCTGATGGGGAATGGCGGGAAGGAGGCATCGTCGGTTTGTGGGTGTTGCTGCACAGTCTGCAGTTTAACTGTAAAGCAAGCAAGGTGCAACAAACCTGAAGAGAAATGCAGTTTTATGCTAGGAAATGTGAAATTCCACAGTTAATATATGTTGAAATATAAAATATATACAGGCTAAACTGTATTTAAATTCCATAGATTTTTCAATTAAAACGATATATGTAGATATGACTGACTGTCTGTTCGTTTGTTTGTATGTATGAACACCGAGAAGTTTTAAATCATAGCAGCTGGACGCACCAAACTTGCTATGCAGACTTTTTTTTTATCCTTGTGCGTTAGAATTTGACTTATGTCGAAATCAATTGTTTTCTGTTTCATCACTATTTATTAATGATATGCAAAACTACTTTTCTGATATATGAACAGTTTTGTAACTTATAAAGAAGCACTGTTATCAAATAAGAAATAGGTTTAAATGTACTTATCTTAAGATTTTTCCAATTATACTCATATTAACTATTTTTCTAAAATATCGCGTTCTTCCACTGTACCTGGACTAGAAGTGCATAGAAATTGTCACTAGGCCTGGAGGGTAGCGCGGGAAACAGCATAGAGTTCATGCCCCCGACCCGGGCAATGCTACTTCTTTTCATTCTCAGCACACACACACATAGTAGAGGAGCAGGCAGGAAGAGAAAAGAGCAAAATCAGGACCGGGCACGACTTTTACGTTTATGAAACGGATGTTGCCGCTTGCCGTAGTGCTGCACTTGAGCCTTGAGCGTTTGCCTACCCAGAGAATGGAGCTCGAGTCTGGGTTGAGCGGTCGGACCTCAGTCACATATGAGCAGGCTGACTGGCTGACTGGCTGGCTGCGTGTTTTGTGTACGAAATTTTCTCAGTTTCCCTGGCATAGAGACGTTGAGTCCAGTGCGGAAAAGTGTCAGCAATGTGAATTTCTTTCACACACATGAAACGACCCACTATTCGTACTACCCCATCCAACTGGCTCCCCCCTCTGCCATTGTTCTGCAGTTTTTGACTTTGAGCCTGGGTTACTGCCGTTGAAGGAGCAGGAAACAAAGGAGGTAGAGGGCAAGGACCCGTTGCCATTCTAGCCATGCCTTTGGCTTTGCACCTCAACAAAACACAAAGAGATACCAACATAGCTACGCGTTTTCCTTTAGTGAGTAGTTCTTAGGGGCAGGCCCCTGAAAGGGCAATCAAAAATGTTGCTGCTGGTGCTTTGTTGTGGCGCATTTTATGTTCAGGCACATGGCTATACTAGTATATTGTGTTAATTGAATTAGTTGGCAGAGAGCAGAATATGATTTGATTATATTACCATTCCCTCTTCTGCTTTCATTTAAATTGAATTGTCATGCCACGCACGTTACGGTGCAAATTATGCAGATGCCTTTGATTTTGATTAAAAATGATTTCATATTCTTTATTAATGTGAAATGTGTTGCTGCGACAGGTGCTCGCTGGGATTTGCTGTAGGTTTTGTGTCAGAGGCGTGGGCATGGCTTTGAAATTTATTTACAATTTATCATGCAAAGAAGATTGTGCTGGAACTCAACAAATAAAAAGAACTAAGCGGTTTTAAGCTGTTTAACATCTTAAATTAAAACTTTATGAATTACTGGTTTACAGCTGAAATTGGAGCTTGAATTGTAAAAGATTTATGCTTTTTCTAGTCGTGCTACTTAAACGATTTCTATCGAGTGTATCAGCAGAAGAATATAAAACAAGAAAGGAATGCTAAAGTCGAGCAGGCTCAACTCTTAAATACCCTGTACCACCCCACAAAAAAGTAATTAAATTAATTTAATTAAATTAATTAATTAATTTAATTTAATTATTTAACTAAATTAATTTAATTAATTAACTAAATTAAATATA